GTCATGAACTGGGAAATAAGGTGATCATGATGACACTAGCGTCATTGGATTACCGGCAAGATTGAAATGGATGACAAGGACTGCACCAGCAAGCCTGGATGCCCTTGGGGCAGGGGCGGGGTCTGACTCACCCAGCTGAGACCTGGCACCAGAACAAATGAGGCAGATCTTAGAGCTTGGGGGAATGAGCCTGTGTGAGAAGGTGGGCCAATGGATTTGTGAAGACTGGCTCAGCCCTGTGCAGGAAGCCCTGCCCATGAGGATTCTGACTCCTCATGACAATCCTAAGTGAGCATGTTGTCATGTTCACTTTATTGTCCCAGTGTTACAGTTCATGCATTCCTTTACTTGTTAATTCAATAAATATTTGAGTGCCTATGTGCTTGACATAGCAGGCTCTGGAAATATGGGGTAAACAAGGCTGATACAGCCCCACTCTTAGGGAGCTTGCTGTCTCATGAGGGGTGACCTCCACTCCTTCTGAGAGTTTGCTGTGTGCCAGCACCAAACACACTGCATTCCCTCAAACCTCACAACAGTCCCAGGAGTCAGGCACTCTAATCATGTCCATTTTATAGCTCAAAAAGCTGAGGCAGGGGAGGAAGCCTGTTGCCCATAGCCTGAGGAACCAGGTCTCCAATGCCCATGTACTTAACCACGTGTGTATTGCCTCTGGGCACTCTGTTGGCTTGTGATGCAGTCTCGCTGTGTGACAGTGAATGCACGTGGGCACCGGTCTGAGCCTATCTGACCCTGCATGTGCATCACAGCCAGTTCCAGTTCTGTCCTTGACAGGGATGTACAGTGCAGCCTGTGGCAGGGAGAACAATTGAGTTTGGAGTTGCTGGGGCTTAGGAGCTATGTCAGTTTCTTTTCTGCACAGGAACTTCCCACAAGTCCTCACTTGGGTTGACAAATACTCAAAACTGAGCAAGGGCTTAATGCCAGCCCCTGCCTGAGGCTTGCAGCATCTCCGCTGGACTGCCAGTCCCTTCTCCTGAGGGAGGGGTGGTGAGGGAAGCCAACCCAGGAACCCCCTACTTCTAGAAGGAGTGGGGGTCAGGAAGTTAGGCCCAGGGGAGTGGGGCTGAAGCACGTGGACTGACAGGGATGAATGGACTGAATGAAGGATGGGAGCACTGATCTCTTTTGAGCTGTAATGGCCCCCTGGCTTTCCCCACCTTGGAGCACCCCTTCCTCCTACCTTTCTCTGACTCACCTCTAAACTTCCTCTTTGGACAACAGCTTATAAACCTCTTCCTTACTATCCTCTCAAGAGTGCCTGTGACGGGAAAAGTGGTGCTTCAACCATTTCCCAGGTGGGAAGCAATGAGAGCAGGCTCTGCTTAAGGTCACACAGCGAGTAGGGAGCCAGAGCGGCAACGCTGGTCCAGAAGACTCGCATTCTGGACTCTTTTCCCAAGACAGTAGTAGGGCGTCCGGTAGTCTCTAGGCTGGGGGGAAATTCCGCTCTCACATCATCCCTGCATCCCCCCGCAGGGCGGCAATGGGCCAATCCACGGACTCCCCTACTTCTCGAGGTGGTGGGTGGGTCCACTTAGTCCCCCGGTTCCTCTCAGGATGTCTGAGGTTCCTTCCGGGCTGTTGCCCACCCCCATGTGCTCACCTTTGGCCTTGACTTTTCGCCACCGCCGGCGGCTACGGCACTTGGATCCCTCTTTGTCCTCCTTCGAGGCTGGGGCCCCAGAGGCCCCGGCGGGCCCGGTTTCCCCCGCTGATTCCATCAATTCTCCTCAGTTCCCAGCGCGGGAACCAATTGCAGCCTTCATGCTCCGCGGGGAGGGCTAATCTTGTTTACACAACACCGGGCGCCTATACCCAATCAGGGGGTTGCTCCACTCTGGGTCCCACCCCTTGGATAATCTGAACCTCACTCCACCGCCCGGTCCCGCCCTCAACCGCCAAGGCCTAAGGTTGGCTCTGTCCCTTCCACGCCGAAGGACCCAAGACAGACAAAAATGCAGCCCTGGAGGCAGTGAAGAGCGTCCATCCATCAGGCAGGACTAGTGGGGAATCCCACGGTGGCCATCCTGGCTCGGAAGCCTTGATTTGATCACTTGTTGGTTCTCAGCCTTGTTTTCCCACTCACCTTCCCACGTAGGAATCCCCTAGAACGCCAACCTGCCCGCCCGCTGGAGGGGAGACCGGGGCGCCGCTGAGCCTCTGCCTGGGGGGCAGGGGAGCCGGCCAGGTTCTTAGGCAATTCAAAGCCGGGGCGGGGCGCCAGCACCGGAGGCGTGGCTCTGCCTGCCAGTCGTTGGAGGAGGAAGCCCAGGTTTCTCCATTCTCCGCACCTCTCTCCACCTCCTAGTTCTCTTTAGTGCCCTGTTTCTCGCCGTTCTTTTTTCTGCCTTGTCTGCCCCGGAGAATGAGGGGAGGGGCAAGGAGAATACTCGGCGCCTGCGTACTAGCCCCGCGTCGCCGGCCCGCCGGAGGGGAGGAGCGGTGGCGGAAGCAGTGTATTGAGCCTGGGAAAAGGCGGGAAACAGAGGGAGCTCGAGGCTCCCGCATGGACACAGCGGCCACACGGGCTCTTTAAGAAAGGCTTCCTGGTCTCCCCCTTAGTTTGGGGAGGGCGTCCCTTGATACAGTTTCTGGTGGCTAGAGAAATAACTCATCCTCAGCACTGGGAAAAGACCTGGAACCCTCTCTTTCCATCCTGCCCCTCCTTCCCACCCTCCCAAGGCCTACAAGCAGCCTTAGCACCAAGGGGCACTAATTCCCTCTTCTCAGCCCTGAGAGACAGGTCAGCCCTTCCGGGAGGGCGGGGCCTCTGGGCTGGGCTGCCATTGTGGCCCCTTGGATTCCAGAGTGGGGCTGCATGTTTTTCACCCTCCCACCACTTCAACAAGGAACCTTTCATTGTAGGGAGAACACTTGACGCCCATTTGCAGCCTAGAGAAGGGGGATGGGAGCTGGAGCCCACACCCCAGGGCACTGCTTCCTGCTTCGGAGGAGGGGAGGAAGGGATGGCTGGCAGCCCTTTCACCCTCCGCTCCTGCCACCCCAGCCCTCCCTTCCTCTAGCTCCTATCTTGCTTGGGGACTTTGGTGGATCCCACGGCCCCTCTTGTAGCACACAGGCCTCTGAAGGCCTGGCTGGACTGGGACTTCCTTGAGGGGACAGCCTGGGGAGGGGAGCAAGTGTTATGCCACTGAGGACTGACCCGGAGAGCCTCAAGGACTGCGAAGGCACAGATTTCGGCCTAGTTGGGATGGAATCACCTCAAGGGTAAGGGGCCATGTTCAGCCTGTGTCTCCCGTGTACACCGCAGTGTGTGCCCTGGAACTGTGCTCAGTGGGTTTGGGGAGGGATGGATGAATAGTAAGTGGCAGGGAGGCGGGTTCCTCTGTGTTCTGGCCCTGACTCAGAATCCTTTCCCACTTTGATTTATCCCAAATCCTTCGAAGGGAGGCAGCCTGGTGCCTGTGAAGAAGTCAGACCTTGGCTTTGGATCCAGGACTGGCCACCCCCTACTGCCCCCCTCCTGTCAGATCCTTCAGATCTCAAGGCCTCGGTTTTCTCATCTATCAAATAGGGCTGTTGATCCTCATTTAGCAGGACTGCTGAGAGATCACCTGAGCTAACCTGACATATTTGTATCTCTCAATACTTAATAACTGTCCCTGGGAGACTCCTGTGCCTTCAGGCTCAACTCACCTGTGTCCCAGTAGTCTCTGGTTTTTCCTTGGGTTGATGTCCCAGCACTTCCTGACATCACTTCATAACCAGGTTTCCCCTCGAAGTCCAGCTTCGTTCCCTGGGTCACTGTTCCACCCCTCATGGCTGGTGAATCGGTCTCATATGGACACCCCAAATCTGATTCTGAGTCAACATCTGTGACCCACTTAAGAAATGTCTTCCAATCTGAGACTGGTTGCTGTAGGGATAGTCTGTGAAGTTTTGATAGAAACCCATACCCAATCGAAGATCCCTGCTGGGATTTGGCTGTAGCTGTTTCCTGGGCTATAGGGTCTGACTGTCCTGGTTTCTCTTGGGACAAAGATTCAGTTTGGGCCAGAGGTGTTGATCCAGCTTCTTTCTGAGCTAGAGGTGGCTCTACTGGGCCAGGTGCTGGCCAGGCTACATGTCCCTCTCCCAATTCTGACTCCTGTTCAGTTCTAGATTCTTTTTCTGGCCCAGCTCTCTGCTGTGAGGCAGCTTCCTGTTGAGTGAAGGACACCCTTTGGATGGGAAGCGATTGCTGTGGTGCAGGCTCCTGTGGGGCCAGAAGTTCCTGCTGTGAAGCAGATTTTTGTTGGGCTCTAGTTTCCTGCTGGGATTCAGCTTCATGTTGGGCAAGGGGCTCCTGCTGAGTGAGGGGTCTTTGCTGGGAAGCAGCCTCCTGTTGGGTATTGGGTCCCTGCTGGGTCTTAGGTGCTGGCTGTGCTGTGAGTGTCTTTTCTGGGCCAGGCTCTGGCTGGGTGATAGGTGTCTGGGGTGGCTCAGGTTCCCAGTCAGGCCCAGTTACTGACTTAGAACCTGGCTCCACTGTTGTTATTTCCCTCGTGGGAGATGTGGATCTCCCAGGCTTCATCCTTCTGGCCTCCCACCCAGGCCTCTTGTGTCACAGATGTCTCATTGATTCCTCATGATGACACCTTCCTTTGGGTTCCAATCCTTTACCCTGGCATTCCTGGCAGTGGACAAGTGAGCTGACCACTGGTGGCCCCCACTCCTGTGCCAAGTGAGGCTCTCCTGTGCCTCCAGCGGTGTGAGGATGGATTAGAAACAGGAGGCGGCCGTGTGCCCAGCACTCTTCTACCAGAGGGGAGGGGCTTGCCCTCTTGTGTCATAAATAGAGCCCCACCCCACTCACCGCTCAGTTAAAAAAAATTTTTTTTTTTCTCCTCATAAGGCAACATCCCAACTTAGTCCTCTGAGCTGACAGAAGCCAGATTCTGGATGAGTGTTCCTCCCCTGGCCCCCGCCCTTCTTCTGATGTTTGAGGGAAGGATCAGAGGGGAAGGCTGTCTCTATACTGTTGTAATAGTCTTTTCCTCTTTATTCATTTTTTCAAATGGTTGCCGGTTTAATTACCTTATATTATTGCTTTATAATTTCACTTCCATTTTGTTACAGCTTGAAGCCCTTTTCAATGGCATTTGAGATCTTCTATATCATCTCTCTTGCCCTGGACCTATGGTTCTGCATATACCGTGTCTTCTGTACTAGTTTGGAAACACAGAGGACAATGACCCTTGATGATGATAACAATCATGAATCCTAAAGGTGTTCTACATGCTAGGAAATGACCATTTTTTTAAACCTATATTATGTTTAACAAGACCATGTCTAGTTCATTGCCATACCTGCTTTAGTTTCCCCATTTGGGTCTTACCTCAGAAAGGGTTTGTTGAAAGAGTAAAAGAATAAAAAGTTGGGCAGGAGAGAGTAAGAGAGAGGGAGGGAGGGACAGATGGTGGGAAGAAGTATGTGTAGATGTAGAATCTGGGTTGAGTTTGGAGTGAACAGGCTAGAATGGGTCATCTGTCTTGAATGTGAGTTGCCAGACCCCATTTGAAAAAAATTATTTTGACCTGTTATATTTAATTATATTTACTGACTTCTTCCTGCTACTTGCCTGGTTGTATTTAAGGTCAGGTGGAACCAGCTAGGAAGCTGGGGCTTCCTGGTTTCTTTCAGGTAATTAAGATTCAATGAAGCCTGGATTCAATGAATGAGAAGGCATGGGAAAAGGCTGACAAGGGAAAGCACTAGAGGGAGCAATCATCAAAATAATCTTGGAAAACTTGCTTTTTGAGATCACTGGAATGATTTAGGAAGTGGGGACAGGGAGAAGGGGCTTGAGGTGGGAGGACATTCTCTAGGTGTGCTGACTCCTTCTTGACTGAGAATGTTTCACTGGGAGAGGGAGCCCTCAGAGCTCCTATAGAGGCAGAGCAAAGCTTGCTAGCTGACAACGTTTGATAAATTCCCGGCAGGCTCTGACGTGCTTGTTTGACTTCCGGTGGTGCCTGCGGTGTCCTATGGTGAAAATAAAGGGGAAAGACTAGTGTTAAACATTTTTAAATTTAATTTTTATGAGAACTTTTAAAGTTATGAAAGTAAGATTTGTCCAGTAGAAAAACTTAAAATTAAAAAATATATCCAGTAAAAAATATAAAAGGACAAACCCCTCAAACTCCACTCCCCATCCCCCAGAACAAACAATTGTTAATAGTTTAATATATAGTCTTCCATATCTTTTTGTATATAAACTATTAAGTTTAAAAATTAAAATTATACTATACATGAATTATTTTGCTCTGCATCTTTAACAAATCTTTTATTATTGCAAAATGTTTATACATCTATAGGAGTCCATAAAAACTTCTATGTGCAGTTCAATAAATAGTTATAGAGCAGATGCTCATGAACCTACTCAGGCCTAGAAGTAGAATATTGTCAGCAACTCCCTCCTTTTCTGATCACTATCCTCCCTTGCCCCCTGACTTTTATACTAAGCATTTACTTTTTTCATTATTGTTTTACCACTTATCTATTCCTAAATAATTTAGTTTAATTTTGCCTATTTTTAAAAAAATTTTTTATCCTCACCTGAAGACATTTTTTGCATTGTTTTTTAGAGAGAGAAGAAGGGACAGAGAAAGGGAGGGAGAGAGAAACATTGATGTGAGAGAGAAAAATCAATTGGCTGCCCTGAGGCGCCCAAACTGGGGAATCTTAGGTGCCTGGACCTGGACTGGGGTTTGAACCTGAAGCCCAGGTATGTGCCCTGACTGGGAATCAAACTCATAGCCTTTCTGTTACTGGATGACGCTATGACCAACTGAGCCACCAACTGGGGCTAATTTTGCCTATTTTTTTAAATTTTATTTATTATTTTTTAAAATATTTTATTTTTAGAGAGAGGGGAAGGGAGGGAGAAAGAGAGGGAGAGAAACATCAGTGTGTGGTTGCCTCCCATGTGGACCCCACAGGGGATCTGGCCCACAACCCAGGCATGTGCTCCGACTGGGAATCAAACCGGTGACCCTCTGGTTCGCAGCCCATGCTCAATCCACTGAGCCACACCATCCAGAGCTAATTTTGCCTATTGTTAAACTTTATATGAAGTCATACTGTAGCTATTTTCTTGTGTCTTGGTTACTTTTATACAATGTTATGTTTGTAAGATTCATTTACTTTTTAAAAAAGATTTTATTTTATTTATTTTTAGAGAGGGAAGTGAGGGAGAAAGAGAGAGAGAGAGAAACATCAATGTGTGGTTGCTGGGGGTCATGACCTGCAACCCAGACATGTACCCTGACTGGGAATCGAATCTGCAACACTTTGGTTCATAGCCCACGCTCAATCCACTGAGCTACGCCAGCCAGGGCTAGATTCATTTACTTTGTTATGCGTTTGTTTATTCTCACTGATCTATAATATTTGAACATACCACTATTTATTGGTTAATTTTTGGTTTGGGGTAGTTATAAGCAATGCTGCTATAAAATTCTTGTACATGTCTCCTGGTGTGTATCAGCCTGCATTTCTTATGAGTACTCAACCATTTAGCTTGGCGACAGAGCTTAAACTTTAGTAGATACTGCCGGCAGTTTTTCAAAATGATTTGCCAGTTTACACTTCCATTAGCAGGATATGAGTGTCTTTGTTCCCTACTCTTTGCCAACACTTGATATCATCAGACTTTAAATTATTTGTCAGTATGGTGGTTTATAGTGGTATCTGTTTGGTTTTAGCTCCCATTGTCCCAATTAATGGTATGTGTGCCATTTCATGCCTATTAGCTATTTGGATTTCCTTGTCTCCAAATAGCTGATTTGAGTCTTTTGCCTATTTGTTGTGTTGCCTGCCTTCCTTTGATTGATCTGCAAGAATTCTTTTTTTTTATAATCTTCTTTTTGTTTTCCTTTTTTTCAAATTCTCATCCAAGGATTTGTTAATTGATTTTAAAGAGAAAAGAAGGGAGAGGGAGGGAGAAGGAGAGAGAGAGAGGGGGAGAGAGAGAGAGAGAGAGAGAGAGGCATCAATGTGAGAGAGAAACATTGGTTGGTTGCCTTCCTGCAGCCTTTCAATCTATGGAACATGCTCCTACCAACTGGCCACACTAGCCAGGGCTGATAAGCATTTTAAATTTCTATTTATTTGTTAATACAAATACTGCTATAATTTATATTCTTTTTTATATTCATTTTTTAAATTCTTTTTAAAAATATATTTTATTGATTATGCTATTACAGTTGTCCCATTTTCCCCCTTCACTCCCCTCTACCCTGTACATCCTCTCCCACCCACATTCCCCCTCTTTAGTTCATGTCCATGTGTCATACTTATGAGTTCTTTAGCTTCTACATTTCCTGTACTATTCTTACGCTCCCCCTATCTATTTTCAACCTACATTCTATGCTACTTATTCTCTGTACCTTTCCCCCCTCTCTCCTCCTCCCACTCCCCTGTTGCTAACCCTCCATGTGACCGCCATTTCTGTAGTTCTATTCCTGTTCTAGTTGTTTGCTTAGTTTCTTTTGGTTTTGCTTTAGGTGTGGTTGTTAATAATTGTGAGTTTGCTGTCCTTTTACTATACATGTTTTTTTTAATCTTCTTTTCTTAGATAAGTCCCTTTAACATTTCATAAAATAAGGGCTTTGTGATGATGAACTCCTTTAACTTGACCTTATCTGAGAAGCACTTTATCTGCCCTTCTATTCTAAATGAAAGCTTTGCTGGATAGAGCAATCTGGGATGTAGGTCCTTGTCTTTCATGACTTGGAATATTTCTTTCCAGCCCCTTCTTGCCTGTAAGGTCTCTTTTGAGAAATCAGCTGACAGTCTGATGGGAACTCCTTTGTAGGTGACTGTCCCCTTATCTCTTGCTGCTTTTAGGATTCTCTCCTTCTTTTTTACCTTGGCTAATGTAATTATGATGTGTCTTGGTGTGTTTCTTCTTGGGTCCAACTTCTTTGGGGCTCTCTGAGCTTCCTGGATTTCTTGGAGGACTATTTCTTTTGCCAGATTGGGGAAGTTCTTCTTTATTATTTGTTCAAATATGTGCTCAATCTGTTGCTTTTCCCCTTCCCCTTCTGGTACCCTTATAATTCGGATGTTGGAACGTTTAAAGATGTCCTGGATGCTCCTAATCTTCTCCTCATTTTTTTGAATTCTTATTTCTTCATGCTTTCCTGCTTGGTTGTTTCTGTATTCCTTCTGGTCCACTGTATTGTTTTGAGACCCAGTTTCCTTCCCTTCACTATTGGCTCTCCTCCGTGTATCTTCTTTCATCTCTTTTATGGTAACCTGCATTTTTTCATCTAATTTGCACCCAAAATCAACCAATTCCATGAGCTTTCTGATCACCAGTGTTTTGAACTGTGCATCTGATAAATTGGCTATTTCTTGGTCACTCAAAAGGATGAGTCCTGGGGGACTGATCTGTTCTTCTGTTGGAAACATGTCTCTCCCTGTCTCTCTCTTTTTTTTCCTTTTTTTTCCCGGTCTGGTCACTCCTGTTACGGTGAGGGGCGGAGCCTTGGGTGTTCACCGGGGCTGGGCACCCCAGTCACTAGATTGTGATGTTATATGTGGGGGCGGGGGTGGGAGCGGGGATGGGATGGAACAATGGCGGTAGTTCCATTCTCCTGGGATCTCAGTCCTTTCTCTGGGATCCTGGGTTGCGAGCTCTGCCCTGGTCCACAGTCGCCGCCTCACTGGGTCCGCCAGCTGCTGCTTGTGTACTCAGGGTCCACCGCTGCGATCTTGCACGCCCTGGATGGCTTGCGCTCTGAGTTCGCGCCAAGTTCTCCCTGACCTCCGCGCGCCGCTGACCTGCGCCCGCCTGGCTCCTGGCTGGTTCTCTCCGCCCCTTGTACTGGTCTGGATGAATGGGTCTACTTCAACTTCTTGGCTGTCCAACTTCCATTCAAGATAAATCCTCTATCAGTTCTGGGTGTTACTCTGGCTCTAAATTGTTGTTGTTCTAATCTTGGTTGTGCGTGGAGGTACGGTGCATCCACCTATTCCTCCATCTTGCTGGAAGTCCCTTATATTCTTATACATATATATCTTTGAGTATCCATGCAAGTATTCTATACTAGAGATACCATGAAGTGAGATTACCGGGTTAACAGGTATACATATTTACATTTTTGATAAGTAGTACCATGTATTTTACTTCCATCAACAGTGATAAGGATCCTGATTTATCCCATTTTTTATTGATTAATTTTAGAGAGAGAGAGAGAGAAACATCAGTTTGTTGTTTCACTTATTTATGTATTCATTGGTTGCTTCTTCTATGTGCCCTGAGTTGGGATCAAACCTGCAACCTTGGTGTATCAAGATGATGCTCTGATCAACTGAGCTACCTGGCCAGGGCCCAATTTATCCCATTCTTGATAATATGATAATATCAATCAGCTTAACATTTACCAATTTACTTTTTAAAAATTTTTATTTATTTATTTTTAGAGAGAGGGGAAGGGGCTGAGGAGAAAGAGAGGGAGAGAAACATTGATGTGTGAGAGAAACATCAGTTGGTTGCCTCTCACACAGCCCCAACCAAGGACGAAGCCTGCAATCCAGGCACGTGCCCTGACCCGGAATCTAACTGGTAGCCTTTTGCTTTGTGGGACGATGCCCAACCCACGGAGCCATGCCAGTCAGGGCTTACCAACTTAATTTTATATGACATTTAAAAACTGCTAGACTAGGCCCTACCTGGGTAGCTCAGTCACTTAGAGCATTGTTCCAATACGCCAGGGTTGCAGTTCCATCCCTGGTCAGGGCACATACAAGAATCAACCAACTAATGCATAAATAAGAGGAACAACAAATCGATATTTCTCTCTTTCTCTCTCTCCCTTCCTCTCTCTGTGCAAATCAATCAATTGAAAAAACCTGCTACACTATGGCAGAATCAAATTCTGTTTGTAAGGGGGACAAATGGCAATGGAGAATATAAAATAAGTTGCATCTGACCCTAAAAAAAAAAAGTTCTCTTTGACATTGACATGTGTCATTTTCAGAGGTCAATGTCCAGGTCCCCAACAGCCCCATCTCCCTCCACAACGGAGAGCTAAAGTCTAAGACTTTGGTGAAACTGTTCTAGTTCTAGGAGAATTGTATCCTGCTTTTCTTCCTCTTCCTCTTCCTGTTTCCCCACAAGTCGACATGAGTAGAAAGGACTCAGATGTTTCCCCTGGTCTTCATTTCACCTCTATCTTCTCTCCTCAACCCCAGCTTCATCTCTAGTTGTTCCCCCTGAGTGACTTCCTGCAAAAGAAGGAAGGTCACACTTTTGAAACTTACTGGTTTTCTTCACATTGCCCTTGAAATGATCACAGGGACACTGCTTCTTTGGCAGCCTGAGCACTGCCATGAGTTTTCTCGTCGGAGCTCTCTGGAACCAGTCTGAAATAACAGGGTTGTTGCTTAGATGGGAGGGTTAACATGTCTGAGAGTTGGAAGTAGGATCTTTGCTTTTTTATACTGCTATAGGATGGCCAAAAGGGTCAACATAGAACAGTGGAGATACCCAGTTATATCTATATATTTCTGAGCAGTTTCTCCTGACCTGTGTTGGCAAGAATCTGTGGCAGGTGTAGAGAGGGCAGCAGGATATCATTAGGGAGACCAGAAAATGAGGAATAAGACCTAGATATATGTCATCCTTTTAGTAGCTGCTTTATGTGGGGCAAGCCATTTTGCCTGTCTGATTTAGTATTATTTGTGAATAAAATAAGGTGAGAGTAAGATCCAGAAAGCTTTTGGAAGGCAACCCTGGGTTCTTAGGGAAAAAGTAAGAGGGAAGAGGCAGGCAGAGATTTAGCCAGCTTTTCGCTGGAGTCCAGCCCTCGGAGGAGACTCAGGAAGAAAGCTGGTGTTGGTGGTGCACATGCTGGCTGGTGGAGATGGAATGGGTTCGGGGACTCAGGGGAGAGAGGTGGGGTATAGATGGTGCATCGATGTTGTTGATACTGAGTTACTGACCTTTGCACTCGCATTCTTGGCCACCTTCCTGGATCCACCTCCCAGAAGCCTGGCGTCGGTCCCTCTGGCCTGTGGCGACCCCTGTTGGAAGGAAACAGGTCACTTCTAGGCACTGGAAAGGGAAGGGGCCAACAGCAACGGTCCCCAGTTTAGTACAGTTTTCCATTTCTTTCCCTTTTTTTACTCAGGGATCTAGGAGTATTTTACCTCAAGTACTGTATTTTTAAAGATTTATTTATTTAGGCCCTGGCTGGCGTAGCTCAGTGGGTTGAGCGCGGGCTGCGAATCAAAGTGTTGCAGGTTCGATTCCCAGCCAGGGTACATGCCTGGGTTGCAGGCCATAACCCCCAGCAACCACACATTGATGTTTCTCTCTCTGTCTCTATCTCCCTCCCTTCCCTCTCTAAAAATAAATAAAAAAAATATTTTTTAAAAAGGATTTATTTATTTATAGAGAGAGGGGAAGGGAGGGAGAAAGGGAGAGAAATACCAATGTGTGGCCTCCTTTCATGCACCCCCCGACTGGGGACCTGGCCTGCAACCCAGGCATGTGCCCTGACTGGGAATGGAACCTGTGACCCCCTGGTTCACAGGCCGGCACTCAATCCACTGAGCCACACCAGCCAGGGCAAGAGAAGAGCATCTTAAATGGTTAAGGAATTGAGGTTGAAAATCCAGCCTAGAGAATAGCTTAGCTTGAGGTAGGTGGAGAAAGAATGGCTTCTGGATGGAAGAGAGGACAGAAAATGGGGCTTAATAAAGACCTTCCCCCCAACACACACATTAAAATCCTCATAACTTCAGGAATGAGAGGAAGGATCATAATCTGCGTAAACCCATCAGGATCTTCACTGACCTCCAAGTTTGCAGTATTTGAATCCCTAATCCCAGTTCTACTCTAAAAGGATGGTATTTACCTTTGCCCCTCTGGAACAAAAGCCATTCCTCCTTTGGCCTCTATTTAGGTATGCCTTATCACCTGATGCTGTCTTATTTCCATTTTGTGATACCTGAGATATTTTTGTGACAATCAAGGATGATGGTTTATATATAGACTTGAGGTTCTGGAACTAGAACTAGGCCCAGATGATGCATCCTCTGTATAGCGGTTTCTGATATTCCTGTCAGAATTGATTATGCCTTCCATGAATCCCCATCATATTTGAATGCAGCCCCATGTTACACAATTACAGTTTGTTGTTTGAAATCTGTTGTGGACTGAAACGTGTCCCTCCCAAAATTCATGTTAAGATTCTAATCCTCAGTACCTTAGAATGACTGTGTTTGGAGATAGAGCCCTTCAAGGGGTGACTGAGTTAAACTGAAGCTGTTATGGTTGGCTAATCCAGTCTGAATGGAGTCCTTGTAGAGGAAGAGATTTGAATACACAAAGAAACACCAGGGATGTATGTGTGCAGAGAAGGGACCAGGAAGAGGTCCATCTGCAAGCCTAGGAGGCAGGCCTCGGAAGAAACCAAACTTGTCAATACGTTGATCTTGGACTTCTAGCTCCTGGAACTGTGAGAAAGTAAATTTCTGTTGGTTAAGCCACGCAGTCTGTGATATTTTGGTATGGCAGCCCGAGCACACTAAAAATCTTTTTCCCTTGTAGCCTCTGAACCAGTAGTCATTTGGCTGTGTGGTTCCCGACACATATTGGGCTCTTGGTAAATATTTGTCCAATAGGTGGACAGACCAGTTGTGCGGAGAGGGCCTTAGAGAGCGTCTGGTTCAGGGCAAATGTTTCCTGTTTCCCAGGCCTGTGCCCTTTCTCCCACACAGATGGAGGGCGTTGCCTCATTTCCTCAAGTTCCAGTTTCTAAATGTTTTCATGTGCTGTTCTGAGTGCTGTTAAAGTAATTTAAACAGGCATAGCCCCTGCCATCCAAACTCTTCTAATATTTTATCCTCGCCTGACTTCTCCTAGTTCCAGGGAAAAGCCCCAGAATGTTAGAGCCAGAGGAACTGGAAAGTACAAATGAAGAAATCTTCATTCTTACTAACTTTTGGTATTTTGGCATGTTTCTGCATATGATTTTCTTTATACAGTGATAACCATAGTATGTGAGCACATTTCTTTTTGTGTACTTCGTAAGCTGTGTTGCTGTGTCCTCTTCATTTTTAATGATGGCACAACACTGCTAACAAATATACGTTGCCCTAACTTATTTAACTGTTTTCCCAGAGCTGAATATTTAGATTGCTTTATTTTTGCATATTGATACATTTCTGTGTGCTTGTAACTATTTTCCAAATTTTGTATTATTGCCTTGGGCAAAATTTCCTAAAATGAAATTTTTGTGTCAAAAGTTAAGAACAGTTCTATGTTTCTTGATGTTGTTATGAAATTGCTTTTTAAATGGTTGCACTCCTGGCTGGTGTAGCTCAGGAGATCAAGTGTGGACTGTGAACCAAAGGGTCACTGGTTCGATTCCCAGTCAGGGCACATGCCTGGGTTGTGGACCAGATCCCTAGTGGGGGGCATGTGAGAGGCAACCACACAATGATGTTTCTCTCTCTCTCTTTCTCCTTCTCTTTCCCTCTCTCTAAAAATAAATAAATAAAATCTTTAAAAAAGTGGTTGTACTAATTAGCTAAATCACTATCTTTTATTTTTCAGGTGAGGAAACTGAGGCCCAGAGAGAGTAAATGAAAAGGCCAAGTTCATAAAGATAATAGAGACTAATTTAGAACTAAAATTCAGGTCCAGGAGTTGTACTTTCTGCAGCTCTGCATGACTCTAATATTTCAGTGTGACTGAAGCTGCATTTATAGGCCACCATTAGAATTTTTGCTATTGCTTGTTCCTCCTCTACTATTGTTTACTTCATATTTTTCTTTAATTTAATTTACTTAAAATAGCCTTATCCTATGTAATATTATTTGTGAGATTATGGGTTTGATTACATGCTTAGATTTTTTCCTAACATGCATTAAAATGGACATATAACTATTAAAGTAAAAGCTGCTTTATGTTCTACCTAAAATCAGTTTTGGAAAATACTGACACAGTGGAATAAGCACAGATTTTATATCCAGATAGAACTGGGATTAACTGCTTGTTCTGCCACTTAACTATGTAGTCTTAGGTAAGTCACTTAGCTTCTTTAATTTTTGGCTCTCTGATCTGTAAAACAAGTACAGGAGTCTCTACTTTGCAGATTTGTTAGCACTAAATGAGATACTGTGGGTGCCCAGTGTCCAAGCAGGTGTTCAGTACATGATAGTTTTCACTGTAGTTATAATTGCTGACTTCTAGTTATTTCCCAAAGAGAGTGTCTATGCTGGAATGTTAGGCTTGTTGGGTTTTGCTGACTTGTATGTATAAAAAGTTACTTTCACTTGTTAGGATTTGTGGTAGTTCTGTCATTATTTCAGTTTCCCAATTCCACCACATACTAACTTTATGATTTTGGACAAGTTACTTAACTTTTCTGTGCCTCATTTACCTAATACGTAGAATGGGACTAGTAGTGCATATGTGTTTGTATTCATATATCTATTTCCTAGCTTTGTCCACTAGAGGGCTCAGAAGAACTAGCACCTAGAACCAAAGGGCAATAACTACCTAATACTATTCTCCCATAAGAGAAACCAGGGCTCCTCCAAGAAATGGCTGGGGCAGGAAAGTACAAAATAAGCCTGAAATGTCTTGTGGTGTCAGAATTGCTAAAAAAAATGTTAAAAAGACATAGAAACTAGCCCTGGCTGGTGTGGCTCAGTGGATTGAGCACCAGCCTTTGAACCAAAAGGTTGCTGGTTTGATTCCCAGTCAGAGCACATGCCTGGGTTGTGGGCCAGGTCGTGCCCAGGTCCTCGTGCCAGTAGGGGGTACATGAGAGGCAACCACACACTGAGGTTTTGCTTCTTCTCTTTTTCCCTCCCTTCCCCTCTCTCTCAAAAAAGAAAAAAAAGAAAGAAAGAAAAAAGACATAGAAACTAACTTATAGGAGCGCTCAATGGCTAATTTTGGGACAATATGAAGAACATAATAAAGAATGATAGTAATGGATTATAATACATAAATATTTGTGAGTCTTTACTTATATTAATAAGTAATTGAATACATGGGAGAGAAAGAACAGTTCTTTCTTTTATTTTTTAAAGACTTTATTTATTTTTAGAGAGAGGGGAAGGGAGGGAGAAAGAGAGAGAGAGAAACATCAATGTGCACATCAGTTGGTTCAATTGGTTGCCTCTTACACACCCCCTACTGGGGACCTGGCCTGCAACTCAGGCATGTGCCCTGACTGGGAATTGAACAGGTGACCTTTCTGTTTGCAGGCTGGCCTTCAACCCACTGAGCCAAACCAGCCAGGGCAGAACAGTTCTTTCTTATAGTAGAATTTTAATTAATAAACATAGAAGGAATGATGGAAATAAAAAAACCACCATTTGACTAATGCCATAGAAATACCTATTGTAGACAGAAATTAAATCCATTAATTATCAATGGATTTTAAAAATTAATGGGCAAAATATGATGAGAAGAAACAGACTATTTGCATAGTCTCATAGTCTCACAGTACCCCTTTACAAGATACTTAGGAATTACAATGGGAAAAATATTAACTTGACAGTAGAGAAATCTGGCAGACACCACCTTAACAAAGTGTTCAAAGTTAACATCAGCAGTAATGAAGTGTTCAAAGTTAACATCAGCAGCATGATACAATGAATATTTTATCATGAGACTTCTTGATGTGGTGTACTGAGAAGGCAGGCATCACTTTTATGGTGTTCTTGCCAAAAATTCAAACTCTGAACTTTATTATGAGGAAACATCAAACAAACCCAAATTAAGGGAAGTTCTACAAAGTACCTGACTAGTAGGCTTCAAAAGTGTCAAGGTCAAGAAAGGCAAGGAAAGCTAAGAAAATACTCTATGTTGGAGTGGACCAAGGAGACATGATGACTTTATTCAAATAGTATAGGATTCTAGAGTGGATTCTGGACTAGGAAAAGGACATTAATGATATGATTAGAAAAATTTGAATATTTGTACATTAGTTAATAGTATTGTATCATCATAGTATGGTTATGTAAGGTGTTATTTGTGGAAAAAACTGGATGAAGGACATGCTGGAATTCTGATTATTATTTTTTAAAAACTTTTAAAAAATCCTCACTTGAGGATATATTTTTTATTAAGTTGAGAGAGAGAGAGAGAGAGAGTGAGAGACATCAATTTGTTGCCTCCCATATGCGCCCTGACTGGGAATCAAACCTACAACCTTTTGGTGTATGAGATGACGCCCCAGCCAACTGGGCCACCTGGCCAGGGTAGAACTCTGATTATTTTTACATTTTTGAAAGTCTGAAAAGTGAAAAGTTAAAGATTAAAAAAGTACATTAGATTTTTGTGAGGACACAATCAGATAAAATGTGTTAAGTGCTCAGAACAGTGCCTGCCACACAGGATTGCTTAACACATGTCAGCTACTATTATAAGTAATTTTATAATTAATAAGTAGTATTATAAGTAGTGAGTAGACTATTATTATAAGTAATTTATTTCCTAAATTCTCTATATTCTCACTTATCTTTTCCTCCTTTCTCCTGTGAAAAGCATATTGTGCATGTATGTGGTTATTTTAAGAGGTAAAGTAAGAAGTTTTACTTTGAGAATATTTTGTGGTGATGGTAGGGCATCATTTCCTCTAGCCAGACTTAACCTGGTGTTGCAATACTATGCTTGGCTGGGAAACAAGCCTTAAACCTGGCCTCCAGCCACCTGATGTGGCTGCTAATAGCGTTCGTTACCTGGTGGCACGGAGAACTTTCCTGATTCAGGAAATTAGAAATTTTACCCAGTCCATTTCTTCACCTCTTACTAGGTACACACTACAGGTCATTCAATCTTCACAAAAAATGTGTTTTCTAACTGGCATTTTATTCATTGAAATATGATAAAACTGAAGTTCAAAAAAGTGAAGGAAGTTGCCCGGGGTTGAAAAGTAAGCGGGAGAGCCAGGATTTGAATCTAGATTCCCCAGCTTCAAGGCTGAAGGTCTGGGTACATCTAGGGGGAGCAGGTTTGAGAACTGTTCACATGGAGCAGTGGTTGGCTCTCAACTGGGGAGTGGTTTGCCCCTTCAGGGGCCATTTGGCAATGTCTGGAGATATTTTTGGCTACCTTAAGGGATCGGGGAGGCTGCTACTGGCATCTAGTGGGGAGAGGCCACAGGGATGCTGCTGAACATCTTACAATGCACAGAATAACCCCCCCCTACAACAGAGAACCATCCAGCCCCAAATGTTAACAGAGCTGCTATCAAACCTCAGTGTAGAGTCATCAAGCACACTTGAGAATTTATTCTTTCACTTAGCAAATATTTACTGAGTACTGGGCTGGATAGTGTGAGGGATATGGAAACAATACACGAGATTGTGCCATCAAAGAGGCTGCAGTCTAAAAGGGTGGGGGTGGAGGTAGGAGAGGCAGGCCAATACCCTCAGTGTAAGGCAGACTATGGTAAGTGCAAAAGAGAGAGTCCATTAGGGATAAGCATGTTTCCAGGAGGTGGAGCTCACTTCTAGTCACGGGAGGAATCATGGGAGGCGTGGAGAGGAGGTGGTTTTGGAGCTGGGTGTACGAGCAAAGCTGAGCTGGTGGGAAAGCATAAGACCTTTTCCCACCTAGTTTAGGTGGAGCACAGAGCGTCTGCTAGTGAGAGGAGGGGAGTGGACTGGAAAGGCAGGTTGTGGCTAGAGCTTTGACTTTAGGCTGAGGACTCTAGCCTTGGCGTCTGTCCTAGTGATGGAAAATCCTTCTCTTCCAGAATGGTGGGCTCGGCCATGGGGCCCAGCAGTCTCCAGAAAGCTCTTTTTACAAGGGAGAAGTTTGAAATTGGGGTGGAGTAGGGTCCACTCCTGATTTTAGGACTGAGTTCATGTTGACTATGTAACAAAGCTATTTTACGTCAAAGCAGCCCTTGGGGAGATGGTTCTCTCAAGCAGAAACATACATGGGGATGAACTCTCTTCTGAATGTTTGTTCCGCTAAGGGCTAGGCCACTGGAGCTGATTCAAAAACCCTGACCAAGGGTCTGCTTCCCAAAAGGTGAGCTGTTAAAACAAGGCTTGGTATGGCTAGTGATTCAAATGTGGTTACTATCCGGTAGTATGATTTTTCTAGTTTATTACTTTGCCATTAGATAGCATTAAAATTGTTGGTCGGATGTCTGGTAACTTTAAAGAATATAAACAGCCCTGGCTGGGTGGCTCGGTTGGAGTGTTGTCGGATAGGCCAGAAGGTTGCAAGTTCAGTCCCTGGTGTGGGCATGTATGGAGGCAACCAACTGATGTTTCTCTCTCACATTCATGTTTCTCTTTCTCTTTCTTTCTCTCTCTCTCCCTTCCTTTCTCTCTGTCTAAAATCAATAAACATATCCTCGGGTGAGGATTAAAAGAAAAGAATATAAACAAGGACTTCCTTGTTTTCTTCAAATGTACAGTTGCCCTCAACACTTTTACAGCACTGCCACCAAGATTGGCCATGGGGAATGCGTTACTCTTTTGGAAATGGGATTGGGGGAGAAGTAAGGGAGGAAGTGAGCCCATTTAAAAAAATTTTTTCTTTGCCAGCTACTGTGTCAGAAAGTTTCCCCCTAAATTTTCATATACGCTGTCTCATTTGACTCTCACAACACTCTTTAGGTGCTGGTACAGACTTCTCCCTTTTGTAAATGAGGAAGTGGGCATGAGATAGGTTAACTTACCCCAAATACCTGTAGCGAAAACGAGCTGCATTTTAATGTATGTTTTTTGATCCACATTTTCTTTTCTGTTTTGCCACATTCTCCCTCTACCCCCAAATCTTGTTTCCCCCTTTTATAGAAAATTAATCTGCCCTGGTTGGTGTGGCTCAGTGGATTGAGCACCGGCCTACAAACTGAAAGGTCACCAGTTCGATTCCCAGTCAGAGGACATGACTGGGTTGTGGGCCAGGTCCCCAGTTGGGGGCATGCAAGAGGCAACCAATGTATCTCTCACATATTGATGTTTCTCTCCCTCTCTTTCCCCCTCCCTTCCCCTCTCTCTAAAAGTAAATAAATAAAAAAGTAAATCTTTTAAGATTTACTATAAAGTAAATCTTTAAAAAAAATAAGAAAATTAACCTTATTTACCTGGACTTGGGTTGCTAGAGACGATGGACATCAGCAGTAGCAGCAACAACAGAAGGACAGAAGAGATTAGAACTTTCATCGTGACTGTTGGTGCTGCTGTAAGTCACTTGAAGAGGGTGTGGAAGGTCCCCAGTTAGAGGCTCCGGACTCCTTGGGATGGCTCAGGCCACTGTATACGGCTTGGTGCACTTTAATCCCAGGTCAGTGTTTCCCTTAGAAGGTAAGAGGAGCTAAGTGACGCTGGTCCATTAGGTAACAGGTTGCACCATGTGCTTTACGAGAATCTGGGAGGTAAAACTGGCTAAACAAAGACATGAAGTATTCTTAAGAACATAAGAAGTAACTGATAACTTGGCAGCAATATGTGTGCCCTCCCCTTCTCTTTCCTGCCTCCTTCCCCCACAGTGTGTTATGATTTCTTTCCCAAGCCTTTTTACTCCTTTGAATTTCCTTATACCTTTCAGTGACTCTTGTAGCTTAATATCTGGCAAGAAAGTGAGTGCAGTGGAATCTTGGTTCTTGAACTTAATTTGTTCCGGAAGGCTATTTGAGAAGCAGTTTGTTTGAAAGCTGAATCATTTTTTCCAATTAGAAATAATGTAAGTTGAATTAATCCATTGCAGACCCCCAAGCTTTCTTTTTTCAAGCTTTCTTTAAAAAATATATTTATTTATTTTTAGAGAGAGGGGAAAGGAGGGAGAGAGAGAAGGAGAGAAACATCAGTGTGTGGTTGCTTCTCACATGGCCCCTACTGGGGACCTGGACCATAACCCAGGCATGTGCCCTGACTGGGAACTGAACCAATGACCCGTTGATCCACAGGCCCATGCTTAATCCACTGAGCTATACCAGCCAGGGCTATTTTAAGCTTTCTTATATACATACTTGTCTGATGTGCTGTTGTAAATAAACCCTTTGAAAATAGAAAGGACATGAAACATAAATGAAAATTTAACAGAAAGGAAATGAAATGTACAGTGAGAAATGAAAACTTATCTGCATACTAGAGCTTACCTTTAATGCTGAGAGCTTTAATGACTGACTGTGGAGGGGAGGGAGCAAGGGAAAGGCCGTCCCCTCCATAAAAAACATCAGGTAGCTGCTCTGGGGTTCCTTCTCTGTTTGTCTCTTTGTTCCACTAGAGCTTGTTTATTGCTCCGTTTGCTACTTCTTTGTCAGGGTGCTACTTTTCAATAAAATTTTTCAGTTCTCCCTGTTTCCCAAGCATTTCCTTGAATATCCTCCCTTCCCTCCTCCTCCTCTGAAGAGAGCCCCTCAGCTGCCGTGTGCTGTTGCTCCGTCTGCACATGTGGGAGTTCCTCGGAGCTCAGCTCGGTGCTGGGGGCCTCCACATTGTCATCGTCCCCCTCCAAAGCCATGGACATGCCCAGAGACACACTGTCCTCCACAACAGACACAGGTTCATCCTCAAAGCCCTCAAAGTCTCCTGCAGCAACAGACTCAGGCCGCATTTTCTTCCAGGCTGATTACATGGTCCTGGAAGACAGTTTCCCCCATGCCTTGTCTCTGTGTCTCAAGCAAGTGAGGATATTAAAATGTTCCCTCCAGAACTCCCTGAGGGTTAAATTAGTTTCAGAGGTCACCCCAAAACACCTCTGAAACAGTGCCTTTGTGTAGTTTCTTAAAATTCGAAATGGCCTGCTGGTCCATGGGCTGGCTGAGAGGAGCTGTGTTAGGTGTCAGGACCTGACAGCGATGAAGCTGTACTCCCGGCGCCGACAGGGCCTCCGAGCCTGAAGGGCAGGCAGGAGCGCTGCGGGTTGCAAGAAGTGCCCTGAGTGGTAATTGTTTTCCTGGGGGGATTTCTTCACACTTGAGGCAAACACTTCATGAATCCACTCAGTAAAAAAATTGCCTGGTTACCCAAGCTTTGCTATTAGCCATCCACATCACAGTCAAGTTGCTTTTTATAACATTGCTTTTCTTGCAAACTCATGGGTTTTCGTAATGGCAGACGAGCAGAGGCTTCAATTTCAAGTCCCCACTTGTGTTCCCTCTCAACAGCAACGCCAGCCAGTCCTTCACTGGCTCGTGTCCTGGCGGTGACTTCTCCTCCCGTGTGATGTAGGTCCTCTTTGGCATTTTCTTCCTGAAGACACCCGTCTCATCACAAATGAATGCTCCTTGGGGAACAGATCCCTCAGCTTCTACGTATTCTTGAAAGTCTATAAAGAAATTATCAGCAGCTATTTGTTAGAACTACTGGCCACCTCCCCGTGCCTCACTACACTCTGAATGCCACTTATTTTCTTTCTTTCTTTTTATATTGGTATTTTCCTTTTTTTTTTTTTTAAAGTATGGCTTTTATTAGTGGAGATCAGACATTATAGGCTTTACTTTGACTGACCTTATTTATTTATTTATTTTAAGATTTTACTTTATTTATTTTTAGAGAGGGAAGGGAGGGAGATAGAGAGAGAGAGAAACATCAATGTGCGGTTGCTGGGGGTCATGGCCTGCAACCCAGGCATGTACCCTAACTGGGAATCGAACTTGTGACACTTTGGTTTGCAGCCCTCGCTCAATCCACTGAGCTACGCCAGCCGGGGCTTGAATGCCCCTTATTTTCTTAAATTCGAGCCACCTCGTACTGGTGTTAAATGAATCACTTTCAGCACTCGGTCCAGGGCTGTCTTTCAGGAGGTCAGTGTGTGGCATCTTCGCTGTTTCAAATATCATTGCCTCCAAAATGCTACCACCGGCTAATTGCTTTTTGTTTATCCAAATCAGCAACAGTTTTCCTACCTCTTCAATTGCCCATGATTGTTGTTTCGTGAGCACTTTCACACCCTTTGTAACATCAGCACTGTTGATGGCCTCTGTATGTTTTAAAATTGTGCTAATCAATGTAGCCACACCATACTCCGTAGCCAGCTCAGACAGTCGAACACTTCTATCTTACTTTGCAGTTATTTCTTTTTAAAGCTCTATTGTTGTTCTCACAACTTTCCTTCTACTTTGCTGCTATCGCCAAGCTCCTTAGAGTCCACGGTGACTTACTGGATGTATTTAGTAATAATAAGCAGGAACAAAAGCAAAAAAAAACCCCATGAAAATATTCGCAGCCTAATTTCCTGAGATGTTAACAACACGAGGCTTAGTGGTAAACTGACTCATACTTGCTCATTCTGCCCTTTGTCTCCTGAGAGACTCACGACTGATCAGACAGGTATCAGCATGAAAGGGCAGTTGGGCTGAGAACAGAAATTTTGTCTGAAAACCAAGACGTTTTTTCTGTGAACAACTTGGTTGAGGACCGAATTGTTGAGGTGGGAGACGTTTGAGAGGCGAGGTCTGGCTGTGCGCAGGGTTGGCTGAGGAGGGGATGGCACGGTCTGTCTCCCCTCCGTGTGCTCCCGCTCCTCCCTTGGCCCAACGTCGGCAGTAGTGGCGGAGTGCTCGGGAGCTTGCCCTGTCCTTGCTCCCTGTACAGTCTCCTCCGTTTCACACATGGTGGGAGGCAGAGGCCATTCTCTCTTGCCAGAGGCACCGGAGCGGTGGCTCCTCGTTGTTCTTCGTTGTTCTTCGGGAAGACAGCTTAGTTCCTCCAGCCTAAAGGAGCGGGAACCAGATTGGTGGAAACCCCCCAGGACTTCAGGCCCAAGAGGGTTTGAGGAACAGGAAGTGCAGGAGGCAGGTGTTTGCACAGGCCACTGGGGCCCTTGGCTGCAAACCTTGTTTGAAAATGGCCTAAAGCAAAAGGAAACCTAGAGTAAACATTGAGGGTCACAGAACATTAGCCCTTACCTTGGGTCATTTCAGAGACTTTAGGAAGTGTGCTCAAAGAAAGGGGAGAGGCCAGGCTTGAAGGCTGGGTCATGTTCCTGGGCGGCCAGCGGGGAGCGATCAGGAAGGATCAGCAGGAAGGAGAAAAGGTGGTGCGGCTTGGCTTCCCCTGAGAGGAGGGGAGAGGCAGCATGAGTCAAACTCTCTTTGATGTTTTGTTTGATCATTCTTACCCTCTCAATTTTCAGATTATCCCTTCCCGTTGACATGTTGGAGAGTAGGTAGTAGTCTTTGCTAGTAAGAAGTTTATAACTTGTCTGCCAGGGGCCAGGCACTGTGCTAGGCCGTGGAGATGGTCCTCTGGTTGAAGGCTAGTGCTTGGCCCCATATAAACCGCTGTTGTGGTTTCTCTCTGGAAAATTCCAGCAATGGTCTCTGTCCTTAGGAGGCTCAAGTCTAACCAGAGAGAGGACATACAGTTCATAAAACCTAGAGATATAAACGGAACCAAATTTCAGAAGTGGCAGGAGTTCACTGTGGCCTGAGAGTAGTAGCTCAGGGGACTCTGGGTCAGGAGGAACATGGGCTGGGTCTCACGGGGTGGGTGGGACCTGGGTTGGTGGGGGGCAGACAGGAGGGCAGTGCAGAGAAGGAGCATGAAGCTAATCAGAGGGCAGGGGCTGTTTGATATGTGCTTTTGTGTTCCTGAACTGATGCAGGGCCTGGCACTCTGGGAGCATTCTATAAATGTTTATTGAATTGAGTGATATTTTTGTGACACTTTAACTAGGCCCGATATGTTGGAAAGCATGTGAAAGTGCAGTTCATTACCAGAAAGAAAGTTCTACTGACAAATGGCCCTGCGTACACACAGAAACTGATGCGGGGTTCTTTACTTTTCCCTTTGAGCTGTCCCTCAGCCCACTGCCAGGCTGCTGCAGGACCAGGGAGCTCCTCCTCAGACCTTCTTACCTGTCCCATCAGTCTGTTTACTCCTCTGCTTTCCCCAGGTCCTGGCTCCTGGTCAGTTCGCTCTGATTTCCCCCTCCATGGACTTGGGGTGGGATGTGGGGCCCTCAGTACCACAGGAAGGGGCTTTGGATCCATGAAGTCCATTGATATTGACAAGAAAAAAAATTCTGAGATGTTCTGCATTAAATTTACAGCAGCCAGAGAGTAAGAGAAAGAGACAGGACAGTTAGCTTGTTATTAGCTATGAACCAACTCTGACAAAAGACTGCTTACATTCTTGTAAATCCGTTGGAATTTGGGATTGATTTCCAGGTGACTGTTTCCAAGATTATCCAAAAGAGAGAGTAGCCAGGCACCAGAGAGCCCCAGGAGCCTCTGCTTATTTGCAGGTGAATTTTTCAATCTGCGGTCCACAGCCAGTCCACAAGAGAGGGCACTTCTTCCTTGTGGGCTCTGCTGAGTCTGTCCCAGAACTAGCCTAACCCCTTTGTCTATAGCTAATGTAAATCCTTACAGCTTTCAAGGCTACTTAAAGCCCATCTTGAGAAAACATTACTTGTGTCAACACAGTCTGATTTCCAAAGGCCTTCTTCCAGGAACAAGGTAAGGGGAAAGTGGGGAGAAAATAGCATTCTGCCGCTG